TATCCACATACAAAACAATGCATTTAGATCCCTGCCTCACACCATTTATAAAAATCAACTCAAAATGAATCACAAAACTAACTGTAAGGGCTAAAGTATAAAATTCTTTTAAAATCATAGAAGTAAATCTGCATGATCTTAAATTAGGCAATGGTTTCTTAGATATGGCATCTAAAGCAAAAGCGATTTTTAAAAATATAGATAATTGAATTTCCTCAAAATTAAATTTTCAGGGATTTTCAAAGGACACTACCAAAAAAGTAAAAAGACAACCCAAGGGATCGGGGAAAATATTTGCATGTTATATATCTGATAAGGAGCTTGTACCTCAAATAAAAAACTCTGGCAACTCAATAATAAAAAGACAACCCAATTGAAAATAGGCAAAGGAGTTAAATGGAGTTTTTGTGTATAGCAGTGCCAAGATGGGGACAGGACAAGGCTGAGGGAAGAAGGCTGGGGATTGAGGCTTAGTTGTGCCAAGGGGCCTGGATCCTTGTTTATTGTCATTCCTCATCAGGAACCAGGGAGAAAGGAGCTCCTGTACTCTGTCTGTCTCTCTCTTATTATGAGTAGTATCCAATACCTGTGATATTAACAATTTCTTTGTGAGTCTGGTGAGGTGGACAGGAGGGCAGGCTGGAGAGGGCAGCTGGGGAAGTGAAAACAAAGATAAACTGAGCTTCCTGTGGAGTCCTGATGGGCTGGGCTTGCTAAGTGTTATCTTATTTAATCCTCACATGCACTCTCTTGATAATGGTCATAGCAACTGCCGTTTCCAGAGGATCAATGATGTGCTAGTGGTTTTCAACATTCCATCTCAGATTTTCGCATGTGTTTTACTGACCATGCGAAAATGCGAAACAGGGGTTGAACTAGCCTACATTTTCACAGTTTATGAGTGTTCATTCCCTTTTCTCTGCAACCTCACCAGCATCTGTTGTTTTGTGACTTTCTAAATAATGGCCAGTATGACTGTTGTGTGATGGTATCTCAGTGAGTTTTGATTTGCATTTCTCTGATGATTAGTGATGTGCATTTTTTCATGTTTGTTGGCCACTTGTAAGTCTTCCTTTGAGAAATGTCTGTTTATGTCCTGTGCCCACTTTTTAATGGATTGTTTGTTATCCTGTCGATTCATTTGAGTTCTTCATTTAGTTCTTTATTGGGTACATAGTTTGCGAATACTTTCTTCTATTCTGTAGGTTGTATATTTGCTCTGTTGATAGTTTCTTTTTCTGCGCAGAAGCTATTGATTAGGTCCCATTTGTCAATTTTGGTTTTTGCTACTTTTTCTTTTGAGGCCTTAGTGTAAATTCATCACCATGGCCAATGTTCAGAAGAATGTCTCCCAGGCTTTCTTCTAGGATTTTTATAGTTTGAGGTCTTACACTTAAGTCATTAATCCATCTTGAGTTAATTTTTATGTATGGTGAAAGGAAGAAGTCTAGTTTCATTCTTCTGCATACGGTTAGCCAGTTTTCCCAGGACCATTTGTTAAATAGGCTGTCCTTCCCCCAGTGTTTATTTTGGGTTGCTTTTGTCAAAGAGATGATTATAAGACAGTGGTTATATTTCTGAGTTCTCTATTCTGTTCCCTTGGTTTACATGTCTATTTTTGCACCAGTATCATGCTGTTTTGGTTATTGTAGCCTTGTAGTAAAGATTGAAGTCTGGCAATATGATGCTTCTACCATAAGAACTATAAAACACTGCTTTAAAACATTGTTCTTTTTGCTTAGGATTGCTTTGGCTATTCAGACTCTTTTTTGCCTCCATATGAATTTAAGTATTGTTTTTTTCTAAATCTGTAAAAAATGATGCTGGTAATTTGCTAGAGATCTCATAAAATCTGTAGATTGCTTTAGGCAGCATGGACATCTTAACAACATTTATTCTTCCCGTCCATGAGCATGGAATATTTTTCTATTTGTTTGTGTCCTCTTTGATTTCTTTAAGCAGTGTTTTTGAGTTTTTTGTTTTGTTTGTTTTTTGGGGTCAGGGTCTCACTCTGTCGCCCAGAATGGAATGCAGTGGCACACTCACAGCTACTGCAGCCTCAACCTGCTGTTCTCAGACCATCATTCCACTCAGCCTTTAAATAGCAAGGACTACAGGCATGCACCACCACACCAAACTAATTTTTTGATTTATTGTAGATAAGGGGTCTCACCATGTTGCCCAGGCTGGGCTCAGACAATCCTCTCGCTTTGGCCTCCCAAAGTACTGGGATTACAGACATGAGTCAACGCAACCAGCTAAGCAGTGCTTTATAGTTCTTGTTGTAGAGACCTTTCCTCTTTTTGCTTAGATGTATTCTGAGGGTGTGTGTGTGTGTGTGTGTGTGTGTGTCTGTGTCTGTGTGTGTGTGTGTGTGTTGTGTATGTGTATTACTATCATAAATGGGGTTATGTCCTTGATTTGGTTCTTAGCTTGAATGTTGTTGGTGTATAGAAATGTATCTGATTTTTGATTATTGATTTTGCCTCCTGAGGCTTTACTGAAGTTGTTTGTGAGTGGTAGGAGTCTTTTGGTGGAATCTTTAGGATTTTCTAGATATCAAATCATATCATTTGTGAAGAGAGATAATTTAACTTCTTCTTTTTTTATTTGGATACCTTGTATTTCTTTCTCTTGCCTGATTGCACTGGCTAGAACTTTCAGTACTATGAATAGGAGTGGTGAAAATCATCATCCTTACCTTGTTCCAGTTCTTAGGGGAAGTTCTCCCAGCTTCTACCTATTAAGTATATGTTGGTTGTAAGATATGTCATAGATGGTTCTTATTATTTTGAGGAGTGTTTCTTCAATGCCTAAATGGTTGAGGGTTTTTATCATGAAGGGATATTGGATTTTATCAATTTTTTTGCATCTATTGAGATAATGATGTGGTCCTTGTTTTTTACTTCTATTTCTGTGGTGGATTATACTTATTGGTTTGCATGTGTTGAACCAGCCTTGAACTCCAGGAATAAAGCCCACCTGATCGTGAAGAATATATATTTTTTTGATGTGCTGCTGGATTCCCTATCCAAGCCTCTACCCACCCCTTAGCCTTCTGGACAGTTTTCCCAGCCAGTGATAAGTTTCTGGTTTGCCAAGACCCAGGGGCTGGAGCAAGCCAGGTTGAGAAGGGGATGGCTCTCTTAGTTGAGGAAGCGAGAGGGATAAGGCAGACTCTTCTAGATGAGGAGGAGGCCGTGGGGGGGTCTCTGAGGAGGCAAGGGAGCTGTGCCAGGTTCAGGCAGAGAGTGTTCCTGGCAGGTGGTTACAAGTGCAAAATCCCTGATGTAGGACCGAGTATGAAAGGCAATCTCACTGTGGCAGCTTAAAGAGGAAGAAGAAGAAGATGAAGAGAAGTAGGGGAGGATAGCTAAGGATCTGGTCAGGTTAGGTCTCATGGGTTCTAGTAGCAGATTTGGGTTTTATTTTGGTTGCAGGGAAGAATTTTCATCCTAAGACCAGTGTGACCTAGTCACAATTGAGAAAGATGGGCATCTTTCATGGTGAATGCAAATTGAAGATAACAAATATGGAGGCAAGGCGATGGTCAGAGTGAGCATAATAACAGGGGTACTTGGATTGCGGGACCAAGTAGGAAGATTGGGCATGTGCAGTGACCTCACCTTCACAGGACTCACTGAGGGTCACGGCAAATGTGTGAGAAAGAGCAGAATCAAGGAACTCTCAAGTCTCTGGCCTGAGCAATGGGGTATCTGAGATGTTAGCCCTGGCATGGGAACAGTTGAGAAAATGTGGGGAGGAGTTATATAGGGCCCCAGCAACTCAGAATCCTCCTGGGTAGCACTTTGTATACATCATGGTGCAAGCAGTGCTCTGCTGGGATAATATGTGTCAATTATTTATTTCTACATAGCAGTACTGCAATTTTCTAGTTTGTTTATTTGCTTATTTATTGTTTACTCTGCAAATAGAATTAATGGCTTACTGAAGTAAGCCTGGAACAGTGCTGGCACCAGCCAGGGGTTCATTAGATATTTGTTGGATGGATGGATGAATGGATGAAGGGATAGACGGATGGATGGATGGTAGACAGACGGACGGACATATGGAAGAAAGGGCAAATAGGAGGATAAACAGGCAGATGGATAGATTGAAAAGTGAATGGGCAGATGAATGAATGATATACGAATGGTTGGTGTTAAGGAGTGAATTGTGGTCTCCCCAATTGAAGCCCTCACTCCTAATATGACTATATTTGGAGATGTGGCCTTTAGGAAGGTAACTAAAGTTAAAGGATGAGGACCTGATCCAACAGAACTGGTGGCCTTATAAGAAGAGGAAATGACACTAGAGAGCTCTCTCTTCACCTGTGCAGAGGAAAATGCCATGTGAGGACACAGGGAGAGGGTGGCCACCTGCAAGTCAGAAAGAGAGCCTTCAGCTGAAATGAACTGCTTGATCTTAAACTTCCAGCTTTCAGAACCGTGAGAAAATAAATGTCTGTTGTTTAAGTTTCCCGGTAGTAGAACTTTGCTACGGAAGCCCAAGCAGACTGATGTGAATGGATGGATGGATGGATGGATGGATGGATGGATGGATGGATGGATGGATGGATGAATGGGTGGATGAATAAATAACTCAGTAGGCCCCCAGAATCTTCCTGTTTAATGCACTAGCCTCCTCACAGTGAAGGCAGCCCTCTTGAGGACAATGTGAGTGCTTGTTTGCTGTTAGAATGGCCAGTCTTGGGAAGTGTGAGTCTATTTGACTTTAATACTCTATAGTCCCAACCTGGGACAGGACTCCTTTTCTGCAAGGTTCAAGTTGCAGAAGAATCCTCGGGACTCTGAAGGCAACGCCATGGTGGCCCTCACACCTGGACCAGCCCACACATTTCCAGGTGTTGTTGCCTCCTCCAGAGCCTGTGCGGGCCCCCTACAGAGGACCTGGAGCAGGAGCAAGGGAATGGAGGAGGAAGTTGTGAGCCACTTTCCCCAGGGCTAATGGAGCTGCTTCCATCACCACTTGTTTAGCCTTTAATCATTCCCGCTTTCAAGTGGAAGGCAGAGCTCCCCAGACACCAGCGGGGCCAGAGCCTTCATCTTCCAACTGGGGGTACAGAGCAGGGTGATGAGTGAAAGGAGAGATGCAGGAACTTCCTCAAAGCCTCAGGACTGAGAAGGGATGGGGTGAGGTGGGGTGAGCAGCCAGAAGCAATGAGGTCAAATTGCCTCCCATAACCACAGCTCCATACCCTGGGGGGAGGAGCATGTCCCCCACTCTCTAGATAGTTCTTGGGTGGCAAGGCCAGAGGCCAGTCCTGAACTCATCCACCCAGGTCTTGCCTCCTGCACAGATCTCCAAATACTTCCTGGCCTGAGAAGCTTCATTACATAAAAGCCTGGTGAGTGAAAGCTAATCTGTGACAGCAATCAAAAGCCTGCTCCCTTCCTACCAGGCTGCCCCTGAGAGGGCACTGAATGGCACATTGGAGGTCCACTGCCACCTTGCTCCCACCTGCCTAGAGTGACCTTTGCCTGTGGATGGCCACCATCCCTCCGGGGCTACACTTGCCCTTCTCACAGCCTTCTGCCTCAAACCTCCCCCACCGCCACATCCTTCCACCTGCCCTTTGCACCTACAGTGGCCCCACTAGGACACTCACCAGGGGCCCAGCAGGGTGGGGGGGGGGGGCTCTTTTGAAAGGATAAAGATAGTGAAATATACAGCTTTCTCTTTTGTTTTGCAGTCTCTCTTGATGTGTCATGGTGGTTTCAGTTGCTTTTTAATGTCGTTCTAAGTCAAGAAAAATTAAAATTGTAAATTATTAGTATGAATCTTGCCATTCATCTTTATATTGCCCAATGCTTGCTTTAAACACAAATATTATACAAGAACGTTGAACTCATATGCAGAATCACCAAAATTTCTGTAACTCAAACATGCATGTGTATTTTGTTCTTATCATAAAAATGCAAATACTTCACAGAACTAACTCACCTGTTTGAATTTCACTTCCTGGTATAGACATATTCTACCACCTTGAAGTAGCTTTCAGCTTACCAGGAGGAAGGAAGGAAAGAAGAAAGGAAGGGAGGCACAAAAAGAGGGAGGGAAGGAAAACCACACTCTCCCACTCTCTCATATCATTTTCAGCATCAGTTGTTGGCCAGTTTAGGGAGATGACAGAGCCAGTAAGGACATGTAGGGTTACTTGTTTGTGTCTCTTAGGGCATCCTCATGTTTGGACACCACACACTGGGCTATGCTCACCAGTTGGCTGGCCTCCACCAGCCCATGAACCCTGTGTCAGAGATTTCTCGAGATGTGATGGGGATGTGGCATTACCCACCTGTCTCCTTTGCTTACATGTGTACACTATCATCCCAGGGCTTCACTTAGCATGAGCTCAAAGATAAAACCATTAACAATTCCAAAATGACTGCAGCTGAGCATTGAGCCCAGCACAGACTTGCTCTTTTCTTCCTGTCAACATTTGACTGATTTATGTGTCACCAGGACCTTTGGGGGCAAGGGCCCCCCATCTGTGTCCACGGCCCCATCTCTTGACAACCCTTGACTTACCATTTGGCTGCTCTGTTTGTGGCCTGGTTCTCCCTCTAGAATGCAAGCCCCCAGAGACAGAACTGCCTGTCCCATGGGCACTGTCTCCCCATTCCTGAACTTAGAGCAGTCATTCAATAACTATTTGCTGGAACAATCACGTACTGATTACTTGCTGAGCACCTGTGACGGGATAAACACCAGGAAAGCCCAGAGACACAGATGAGGTTGGTGCAGCTTCTAACCTCACCTTGCATGCAGCTCATGGGGTCACTGGGTTGACCCATCCTGGTGATGTACAAGCTGAGGCTGAGCAGGTGAGACTGGCCTGCGGCAACCTGGTTGCCTGGGCAGATACAGGACAAGGCTGTTCTTTCAGGCCCCAGACCTTAAGAACCAGGCCTGAGAATTCGGAAGGTAGGGCAGGTCCAAGACCAGGAAGTTGTGGCTTGACCCCTCCCCCATCATCTTGGGACTACCAGGCTAGGAGCAGAACCGTGTCCCCAAGGCCAGGCTCCAACCCCTAAGGAGGTGTCCCTGACATGCAGCTGACCGGCTCCTCCCACACCATTGATTTTCAGTTGACCTCAGACTTCCACTTTACACTTCAGAGCACTCTAAGGCTCTTCTGAACAAATGCTTCCATTCAAGCAAGGCCAGCTGGGTGCTGGGGCACAAGGGTGGCTCCCTCCTCACCTCCCTAGGGAAGTCCTCAGGCCTTCAGTTGTTACCACTCAGATCTGGCTCCTCTCCCTGTCCTCTTTTTAAGTTACACAAATAGCATTGTAATGACTATAAAAGGCACTTGGCTTCTCTAACTTTTTATTTTGAAAATAATCTCAAACCCACAGAGAAGTTGCAAGAACAATACAATGAATTCTCATGTGCCCTTTACTTATATGCACTGATTGTTAACAAGAAAAGAATATTCTCTTTCGAGGCCACAGCATAATAATCAAAATCAGGAAATTTAACCATGATGCAATACTATTTTCTAATATTCAGTTCATATTCAAATTTCACCATTGTCCGAATTTTGTTGATGTCTGGTGTCCCAAACTCGAGTGTGACTTTTTTCTCCATGTATACAGGATCCAACTCTTGATCATGTATCTCATTTTCTTATCACATTTCCTTATCATGCCTCTTCATTAAGGACATTTTTAGAGACAGTCACAGCACTATGACAGGTACCATGTCCTGTTCTCATGCTTTCCACACATGTGCACATTCATGCATGTGTGCCACATATACATGTGCATGAATACACACACACATACATACCCAAGCATGCATATACACATACCAGCCTAACAAGGGGCCCTGAGGTCCCATACCAGGCCCTGTGGCTACCACCTTCTCTGCGTACATTACCCCACCAGAATGCCATGACTACTGGTACCCTTCTGGTGGCTGCGCAATGATGCCCATGGTAAACATATTGTGCTTTATTTGTTTGTAGAATTTCCAGGGAAGGGAGGAATACCCCCTACCCCTCTTGTGATTCCCTGAAATCATAAGGCTGCTGGTCTGTGACAGGGTTTCTCTGAGTGACCTCCCTCTGGGTCAGGCCTCAGTCCTCCCAGTCAAGGATGTGCCCATCCAGGCTGGCCTTGTGCCCAGCAGGCTTGTCCTGGTCAACTCTGCTCCCAAGGCCACCACCAGAACTGAGAATCTACACCTGAGGCACAGTGTCCCCGATGTATTGGGAGGCATGAGAAACTGCTGACTCACGACAGGAAAGTGGCTGAGCCTAGTAACTCTGAAACTCTTAGCTCTGTGTGGCCTCAGGCAGGTTCCCCAACCTCTGGAAACCACAATTGTCTCCATCTGGAAAATAGGAAGAATAATATTACCTGTTAGAAGAGCATTAAATAGAGCCATGCTCAAAACATCCTTCCTTCTTAGAATGTGTTAGGTGCTCAGTCAGTGTTGGCTGCACCATCACCCTATTCCTTCTTTCCCTTTTGAGAAGCACAGAACCCAGAATGGGTGCTGTTCCCTGGGCATTTGGGCACTCGGGCACTCACTGCTCCTTGGTGACATTTGAGGCCAGGAGTCAAATCTTGCCCCAGCAAAACAATACTTTTTTCTCATTCAAGCGCTGCCCCTTCCTGCTCCACTGTAGTCCTGCGGGCTCCATCTGGAGCCAGCCCCAGATTCACGGGCTCTGTCGCCCTGAGGCTTAGAGTCTGGCCTGGCTCGAGCAGCTCAGAAGCCACCCAGTATACTGGAAGGCTAGGGCGCACTGCCCTCCTTGGCAGCAGAAAGGACATGTACAGAAAGGTATGACACAACACAGTTCAAGTTCAAGCCACAATCCCTGCAGTGAGGGTGCAGGGTATAGATCCTCTCACAGTGACATTCTTCAATGTCAGGCTTAAGTGTCCCAGAGGTGTGAAATGCTCATTCTTGGGTCTGTACAGCATTATCAAGCCAGACTCTCATGGGTCTGACTCCTGGGAAGCTCCCCATGCCACCTTCTCTGTGTGACAGTCTACCTCCAACCCCAGGGTCAGGTGCACCACCTACACTTTGCTTGGTTCCACCTAGGTCTCCCTTGATAATGGCCCCAGTGGTTGTTGGTTTGCTACTGAGCATGTATGACACAGAAATTTGTGTCTTCACCCAGAACTTGCAAAATGCTGGCATTTACCTGGTGGGACACCTGCTGGTACTCAACTGATTTGTCTGTTTTTCCTATCTGTATATTTTTTATGGCAGCCTTGTTTCTTGAAGGTGATTACGGCTATTTATACAATATTATTTAAATTCGAACATACCAACAATATACTTTTCAGGTTTACATGGGCATGAGAATGAGACGCTGTCTGAGTTCAGACAGTTTGCTTCTTTCAAGGCCATTAGAGGAGATGATGTCATGAAGGACATGGCCACAGGTAGAGCCTCTGGTTCAGGGCCAGGTATAGTGCCACAGGAGGCCCTGCAGGAGCACAGATGTGAGGGTGAGAATGAACAAGGGTGGTCCAGGAAATGTTGTCAGAGGAACAGCCAGCAGAAGCCAAGACTGAATAGGTGAATGCAAGCAGACCCAGAAAGGCCTCAGCTTGGTTGGACTTCAGTTGCATCCACTGCGGTCCCCATCCAACCATGTGCTGGGGTCACAAGGTGCGAACATGACACTGCAACAAAACCTCTCTGTCCACGGGCCACTGTGGTGATTGCATTATCAACCTTTCAGGCTTTCCCCAGCAGGCACAGTGACACTGAGCTTTGCTCCCAAGGGCCTACTGTGCAGATGCCATGGCCAGTTTCTCAAGATAAAGACAGGTGTGGGAGATGCAGACTCTACAATTCTGACATGCAAACATCAATATACTCCTTGAAATTCTTCAGATCTGGGGTCATGGGCCTTGGAGAGTTCAGTGTGATGCTAGGCACCCTTGAACTTATTTCTACCCACCTGGAGTGCTCCCTATGAGGTATGAGAAAGCAGATCCTACCCACTGTTGTAGTGGCATAGTCTCCAGCCCCAGGCCCTGAGACCTGAGTTCATGAGCCCCAGACTGGGGTCAGGCTCTGTCTTTGATCCTTTCCTCTCCCTCACACTCTACACAATGAAGCCCCACTAATTTTGCTTTCATGGTCTCTCCTACATGTATGTTCTTTACTTCCCCTCCCCACAACTTGCTGCCCAGTTTAAACTCTCAGAGTTCTCTTGATAATTAATACCCTGCCTCCAGTCTCACCTTCTGCAATTTTCTCATCTAAGTGCAAAACACAAGTTGAATCATGACAGTCTTCAGTCTAAAATATTTATTGGGCATTCAGGTAAGAGAATATTAAAACATGGGCATCCAGCTGCCCCTCCCAAATGTTGATGGAAATAACTCCAGAAATAGAAAAAGAAGGATAAAAAAATGTGATACATATACACAATGGAATATTATGCAGCATAAAGAATGATAAATATATGAACTTTGCAGCAACCTGGATGGATTTGGAGTCGATCATACTCAGTGATTTATCACAGAAACAAAGAACAAAGTTCCATATGTTCTCACTCATAAGAGGACCTTGAACAATTATAATGCTATAAGAAAGTGATTGACAGTAATGGGAAACTGTTGGTGGGGAGGGGGTGAGATTGGCAGTTGAAGGAAACTACTGGGGGGGAGGGGCATACCTCATTAACAGGGATACCTGCATGATCAATGTTTGTATACCTAACCCTGAATTGTATCCCAAATCTTTGCAATAAAAATTTCAAAAAAAAGAAGGAGATATGCACGTTAGAAATTTGGTAGTGCATCTTTTACACACCACATGCCTTAGTCACTTCCAAAAGATACAGTGCAGGCAAAAAACAGTTGAAAGAAACTACTGAATGAAGCTTGCAACCTCTCTTGCTAGACAAGTATAGAAGTGGGGAAGAAAACTTGAGAGGCCCAGGAATAATCCTACTATAGAGGATGATGCAACTGTTAAGGGCATGACACGTAGTACCTCTTGGCACTTAGGGTAAACAAGTTTCAAAAGTACCACAGCAGGAAGGCCAAAACAGCATTCTTCCTGAGAGTGTGGGCAGTAGGCCAGGAAGCAAGTCAGACAGACAAAAGATGGACCGGTCCAAATAGGAAATTAGTATGAATAGGTTCAGGGAAGAAATTCTTGAAACAGAGATAAAACCTGCTAGGACTAGCTAGAACCATTTCATCCAACTTGGACTCTAAGTTGTTTTTGAAGCCCACAGGTTGTGTAGCACTCTAAGAGGAGGATTCTGCTGTCGTCTGGGTGGACAGCAAGGAGATGCAATGAAATAAAGAACTACCAATAGTTGTTTGAAGCAAATGCCAGGCTCTCCTAGAGCTCTTTCCATTCAATGATAGGTCAATGGATATAGCAAATGTGAGAAAAAGAAAGGTTCTCCAAAGAAAATTAAAAACACAGTCCTCAAGAGATAAATGAAGAGTGTACAACTTGAAAATGATTTACTATAGGAAACAGAAGTTGTCTTAGTTTTTGTGCTGCTATAAAAAAAATATTACAGACCAGGAGCAGTGACTCAAGCCTGTAATCCCAGCACTTTGGGAGGTCGAGGTAAGGGGATTGCCTGAGTCCACACACAGGTTCAAGAATAGCCTGGGTAACTTGGCGAGACTACTTGGAAGTGCACACCTATAGTTCCAAGCTACTTGGAAGGCTGAGGCGGAAGTATTGCCTGAGCCCAGCAGGTCGAGACTGGGGTGGCTGTGAGCATGTCACTGCACTCCAGCCTGGGCGACAGAGTAAGACTCCAACTCAATATATATATATAACAGATTGGGTAATTTATAAAGCACAGAAAATTATTTTTCACAGTTCTGGATCCTGGGAAGTTCAAGC